CGTCAAGTTGACTACCGAAAATGAAGATTCAAACATTCCTTGATGCCCATCAGGGACCACAAAACTACCGAGCTTCAAACCATGGCAGCAACGATTTTGTTCATTTGCGTTCATTTGAGCAGAGGCTTCGCTACCAAAATTATCCTTTAATCCACTTGGGATTCAGGACTCGATGTCCTACCTATCCAGGAATTTTGGACCCAAATTAAAGACGGCATTTGGCTCATCAGATCGCATCCTGCATTTAAAAAACATTTGCCTCTCCGCGACGTCACGAATCCTAAAAGACCACGCACATAATCTATGCGCGAAAACGGATCAAATGCCATCAAATGCCATCAATAGATAATCTATGAAGTATCGCCCGACTTGACCGCAGTAAAGGCAGAGAGGGCGACATTTGGCTCGTTATATCGTACCCAGGAGTAGATTTTTGGCCACTGCTAGCATGGGCTCTATCTAGGTCTATAGCAATTGGCAGAGACTTCAATATAGTTCATCCCGACTAGTAGCCCATGGAAACCAGATCAAACGAAATCGGCCAAAAACTTACCGAATGGATGTCTGAGCATAGCAAGGACCTATCCTGCCAACCAGGCGTCCCGAAATATGATCGCGGAAACATGCTTGACCTATTCTGGGTCAATAATGGAGCTTTCGCCGAAGTTTCAACAGAGCTCGATTTTATCGCACCATCGAAAAATTGTAGCATATTTCCCTTGCCTGAACTTCAAAAATAGAGTAATCATGAAAGTCGCCCAGCTACTACGTGTGACAGAAGATCCCCACGAGAATTTTGCTATAGTACTAAGAAGGTGGGCTAATTGAGTAGGGCAACAGCTTATTGTTTCAGTGTGCGAGGTAGACAGTCTTGCTAAGAAGCCAGTCTAGACTGTTGAACTTATGACATACCAGACCGAATTCCACGCAATACGGAGAAAACGAAGACTACTCATCTTCGATCACTACCAGCTATTATTAAAATTTAGATAATTGTATCTACAAAGGTCTTACTTCTATCAAGCCTACTGATCAGCTGAGATATACAAAAGCCCGTGATAACCAATATCACGTAGTAATAATGGCTAATATCTGCCAATCATAACAGTTATGATGATGGCTCGGTTTTGGCAATATAATTCCATCTCGCAATCAGCTTATAATATTTCGAGAATAGCGAGCTAGAACATACATAATTGATTAGTAGCAGATTAAGACATTTTTTTAATGAAGTAGTACAATAAACCAAAATCTCAATGATCCTATTCTTTAATTCCTGATCTTCAAATTTCCAATATCCTAAACACCATGCAGCATTAACTTGATGGTCGACGTTCACTTCTAACATTCCAAACACCTCCAGAACTTTCATATAGACCACTAGAGACGCAATCATGGGTAACGGAAAATATGGAGACTCCATGGCATACCAATGTCGCTTCAATCATACAACAGCAATACTTTATTGTGATTGTAAGAGAGAGCGTTCATTGGGTCACCTTGTTCAGTGTAGAATAGTACTGGCTGCATGACTGCTGAAAAGAAGAATGTAGGCAGTGGCTTGTGGCGGAATTCAGTATATATATATATATATAGAGTTCATTATCCTGATTTGGCGCCTTGAGGATCATGCAGGTTTTTACCAGAATATATGTATTTCAAGTAGGATGACTCAATTTGACGATTAGAACACTCACACTCAGATTTCATTTGCAGATACCACTCGAGGTTAACCCTTACAACGTATAACCTCTTCCGTGCATACCCACCACAGGGAAAAGCGTGAAAAACCTGTGGCTATCCGAGTGTGCTTTCATCATCCCACAAGAACGATATAACCGCGAGAGAGAGTGGTGTGTGGGTCTGGTTGGATTCGAACCAGCATTCTCCTATCTCGAATGGGGTAGGTGTTCAAGCTACCCATTATCTACTTGGGAGGGCGGCCCGGATGGTGTACCACTGCACCATCCAACCCGGAATTTAGTGATACTTGCGACTGAAAAGTCATAAAATGATTGCCTTGGTGGCTTGACACGGATTTAGCGATCTGAATCGAGGCTCGGGCGCGTGGTGGCCGGGGTGAAATGATAGAAAGCATAGTATGATTGGTATATGATGTGGTAATTTATACATGCGCCAGAACAGCTAAGATAGTTCTTGTCGAGACATCTTCGTTGATATGCAGAAGTGAGGTTGTTATAGTAACTATTATGTTATAGTTGGGGAAAGCTAGTCCCTTATCCCCTACCTTGTTCGCCTGTAGACCGATCACGTAACCAGTATGCAGCGCACAAAAGTGTGCTTCCGGCTTAGCAACTATGCCACTTGTCCCATGTCAACAACCCATCTCACATACTGCACACAGTAGTAATTGTAATGCTGTCATAGAGAGACTGGATCTTATTCATGCGCCACAATGCCATACTGCCATAACAAGTACCTATGAACCAGCTACTAGATCTACCATCCTACATAGCTGAGCATAACAAAGCAGTCAGCTTTTTTGGCATCACATTATAATTGTGTATGCAGCTAGCAAGCTATGACCAAACACAGGAGATGAAGTATAGCATAAAGGACTCAGTTTAAAAGAAGAGCACCCGTGCCTCGAATTTCATTTGCGAGTACCACTGCGAAGTTATGGTGGCTTTTCCTTCACCCCAAGTCAACCCTCATCCGTGAATACCCACCCAGAGGACGTCTCAAAAACCTAGAGTTATCCAGACGTGCCTCCATCATCCACTGATTTGTCTTTCGGGAAATATGGTCTGAGGCGTCTCCTTCCCAAGCGGAGTAGGTGCCCAGGCTATTCAAACTATACTAGAGAACACCACAGTTTGCTTAGTTGTTTGCTAATCATAAAGTCATTAATCCTATATCTCCTCGACATGTAGAACTTTATGTTCACATAAGCATCCACCTTCGATCTCCTATGGATTTTCTCAAGAGAAGCGCGGAAAATTCATCACCTTCGCAGAGACAAGATAATAATCAGCCTCCACTTATCCACGCTAGTCTACAGCGTAGAATGCAGGAACGGGAAGAGATGTCGCGGTCAAAGATTTCGTAGAATCTAACTGGTAAATGGAAATTTCAATCTGAATCGACATGGAAGCGCCTTTCAGAGATATAAAACATTAGAACCCCTGATTACTTCGAGCAAAGATGCGGATTATGAGATAACGTCGGTGAAATGAATTTTGGAATTCACAAAAGGGTACGACAACGTACCACACGCGAGAGAGGTGTAAACAAGTATAGAAAGAAGAAATACTTGCCATTTATTCTGCAGATTTAAGCCGGCAAAGACGAATTCTTCACTTTCCAGTGGTGCCGGTGTAATCGCTCAGTATGCTCTGCATATCTGGGATAGCCAAGAAGAATCGCATCCGAATCGAAGTCGACAGCAGCCTCAGACAGATCTTCATTTGAAGAATTCTCGACAATGCCTCTCTCATCATTATCATCTGAGTCCTCAACCCATCTCTAACCATGCATCATATTGCCTCAACGACCAATAAAGAAGTTGCTCCAATTGCATACAGGAGCTTGCCCCATTAATCTCCAGCCATCTCTCACTACATATTTACGACGCTATTTATACCCGCAAGGAGGAAATTAAGGCATAATATACAAAGTTGGGTTCTTGGTTTACGGAGGACTGATGCTCTAATGGGACAAACAACTTGATGGAGGGCTGACAGCTGAGATGTGGAGCGAGAGGAGGAACAGGTATCTAAAGACTATGCTGGGACAGATATTTTCAAGGAGTTTTCAACTTTGGATTTTTTGTGGGCGCCAAGACTATGGTTTCGGCCAATTAGCCAGGAGGACTTCTTTTGTCGATGAGTCAACGGCACACCCCAAAGTCCTGGACGGCACAGAAAAAGTTGGGCTAAGCTACCATACAGCAATCACGCTCTGTCAAGACTTTTCTGACATTTCCGCACGATCTTCGGGAAGGAGTTGGAAGGAGGCTAGAAAGGCAGAGTGCGGATTTCCCGAGGTACCCACAAGTCTACAGCGTCCAGCTGGCCGGCCTCTTTGAACGCTTTGGAAGGGTCACTATGTCTTCGGATTTAGTCTTAACGTCGGTATTAAGGGAGCTCCGCACCCAGTGGTTTTTGCGATTTTTCCCGGCTGCCATACACCCGTAAATGGCCATCGCTTCGTTGGCTGGAGAGGGGAGATGATGCAGGGCTAAGGGCTCCTCTTAGTGTATGATCGAATGAGGACTTGTGAGGGGTGGTACTGTTAGAGGGGAGCTGTCATGTAGAGACATGATTCATTCATCAGTTGATATTGTTCAGACGATCATGACTATATCACAACTTCATGTACAGACACAATTCATTGTTTATACCTGTTGTATCAACCATGACTATGTCTCAATGATAGGAGAAACATCATTGACTAGTTACTAGAAACCTAGTAAATATCCTAAACACATAACTGAGACTAGGAGAATTTTACTGAGTAAGTAATTATTCTGATGAATCTAGATCTGGAGGAACATAATCTGGTTGCTTGGCTCGAGGTATATGAACCTGAGCATATCACGTAGAATAAAGAATATAGAAATCTATCTCAATCACAATCATCATCTTAATTCATGTCACCATCAATAGCTTCAAAGGACAGTTTAACCATTTCCTTATAGGAGCTGTATGGGAGGCATAGGAGGGGATATACTACTGGTATAGGTATCCTTGGCCTGTAGGCAGAGAGGACCTGCATGTCCTACATAGTCATAGACTCAGACAGGACAATAAAATGAATTAATAAATTCTGCAGATTTGAGTAATTAACCAACTTTACTTTCGGACTCGCTGTAGTGTCTACCATCATCAATTGATCCCGCGATATAACTGTCACTAATATAAATACTTTCAGGAATTATCAGCCATCCATCCACATATTACTTTTTACAATTCTAGACGCCAAAAAAATCACCCAATCTCTGCAATCATACCATTCTCCGGTGATCTAGTCGTTTACCTCTAGGGTGGTAGAAGACTGCAAAAATTTTAGAACTGTAAAATAGCTTTTGCAAGGGTGCAAAAACGTCTCTTGATCGACAACTTACTAATCTTTCCAGGTACTGCGCCAAACAAGATACTTGCAAAGACTGAAGGCCCCGTTTTTTTTTTCATTATCATTCTCGTGGGCTAGGCCGAGAAGTGTGCAGTTCGACGGGGAGAAAATAATATGATCATAGGTGCTGACTTCTGTTTATATAGTTAGCTAGCTACCATTGGGAGTTTTAAAATTGGACGGAAATTTTTGAGCCTCAACGCAGATGAAAATACTAGTAGTTTGCTAATAAATTCCAGTGGAAAATAATGTAAACATAAGATAGAGAGATATCTTACCGAGGCCTTTGGGTAGCACCGGTGTGATTTGCGTATCGGGTGGAAATCCAAATTTCTTGGACTCGGAAAACCGCTTGAAAACCGTCCTGTTGATAAAGTATATATAGAAGATTTTCTTTTGTTTCCTCTTGATGTATGCTTTACAGGCGCTTTTGAGGGTGGGATTGATATCATACATGTTGTGCTTCTTCTTGACGCACTGATATCCTTTGTGAACCGAGCCAATGAATCTTCTCTCGATCTTCATTCCATTTATTGGAGAAACCAGTATGAGACTGGAAACGAGAAGGAAGATTGAGATGAAGATTGACACTGTGAATTTCATTGTTGAAGTTATGGCGTTGACGAAAATTGAGGTAGGAATAAAAAAGATGTGAGCGAAGAAGAGTTGAACCAGGAGTATTCGATAAGAATGATACTGGTACTGGTACTGTTATTGTTATTGATAATTAGGATGAGATTAAGATTGAGATTGAAAATGAGAATTAACCATGGATGATACTTTAGAAACTTCAACGGAGGAGACTCTACTTCATATAGTAAGTAATGGAGAGAAAATTAGAGTCTACATTAAGGCTCCTAACTTCGGCTCATCACATGTAAAATTCTATACGAATATGTTGGTCACTAATCAAGCAATCAATGAGGAAGTCACGGACGGAAGTAGAGCAGATACAAGAAAGGGAAAGTTCTGCTCGGAATGTTGCCACAATTAGTGGGGATAATTACATTCAATATATATCTGCAGATTTGATTAGTGAGATAATTACTGTGGGAGAAGCTATCGTTCACGTTCCCACATTCTAATTCTCCGACATTTGCCATATACCAACCACCAATGTCTGAAAATTACCACGATTCCTTTCGATGTAAAACTTAGCCGATATTTGAGTGTTAGAATATGGCTCAAATCACAAAGTATTCGCCTCCGGGGCACCTTAATTTTCATGCGAACTGATATCATTAAAGTCATAGGCTGAACTGCCACATGAACAAGATGCATATCGCCCGCAATACTTAAGCCCACTTACTCTTGCCACAATGGTGATGATTTCTAGATTATCCAAACCTTCTTTTTCGTATTCATTTTGAAATTCCTTTCTGCCGAGCCCCGCTTTTTGAAGATGTAGTGCGTAACAAGCTGCGAATTCGAGCCCATTTTCCAATTAAGCCATTTTTGACCTATACAAGATATCAAATGCCAACGCAGGGAATATAAACTTTCCTTGACGGTCTAAGACAGCAGCTAAATCACACCTCAAACTTTTTCAAGTTGATTCTAGACTTTTCACAATGCGCTAATCGATGGGTGCTTTATGGCATATCATGTTTGTCCTAGACAGGCAATTGAGAACCATCACATTTGTGATCACGCCAAATTGAGAATTCTCATCTCACATTGCGTTTTTTCCCCTGGTTTGAGTTGGAAATTACTTGGAGTGAAAGGGCGAAATGCATTAATTGCAAATTTGCACAAAAATATTATCTTATGTACGAGATACTGGTTAAGTGGTCATCTGATTCAGTTTCCTTCTAATTTTTCCGAAAATCCTTACAAGACAAAGAAACTAAAACCTCAATGAAAGAAACTTCTTCATGGCTGTTGACGAAAAACCTATAGAAGAAGCTAATGCGTAAATATCTCGTTCAAATTAGTAATTTTATTGATGAATGTGACAGGTTTATGATTGGCTCCTTGGAAATAGGAATTAGAACACTGTGTTTGCTGCTGCGTGAGTAGGAGCATTGTCCTGCATTACGGAGGGCCAAGATCTCATCGACACCATGCCATCGATATGAGGAACTATTTTCTCGCAGTGATTTTGAGGATTGATAGATCTCCACTCCTTCTCTCAAAATAAGCAGGGGCCTTTTTCTGATTCTGCGAAGCAACTTCAGAACATCCAGCAAGTTCTGTTCTTTTTTTCGCCAGCACAATCAGCCTTGTTTTCTTGGGAAGTCTAGCTCATAAAGTTAGGGCATCAAATTACTTTCTTCTGAAAGAGGAATATAGAAAAATTTCTTGTTATACATTTTCTAGAATTTCTCCCAAACTCTACCCAAGTTTCGTCTATCCATAAGACTGACGTCCGGTCTTCAAAGGCCAATTGAGATGAGCTTCGACCTATTCTCTGCGTGTCTTCATAGTTTTTTAAGATGCTGGAGGCTTTAGATGAGCTACATGTTGCCGATATCATCTTTTCATAAGTCCTTTTTGTATTACGCATTCGCTGTTACCAGGATACCCAAAGGAGCCCGAGGTGAGTTCTAGAAATGTTTTACGGCGGTTTTCAGGTGAAGATTGAACATAGGATACAATCTGATTAATATAATCTGCTTTTAGGGTCGGGGATGGTCCTTTCTTCTCTTTGGACGAGATAGTTCCGCGGCGCAGTGAATAACGAACTTGTCCCCGATAAATGCGAAGTTGCGCGGCAATTTACGTCTAGTTCTTGCCAGCTACAGGGAGCCCATAAATCCGAAAATCCTCTTTGATATCCATTTATTAATATTTATTTTTCAGCTTACTCAATTGTTTTGATCTCTACATAATTGTTTGAGTCGAAGTGTTGGAGGTGAAGTTTGATATGGATTCATCTGCAAAATGTGGTTAGTATCGAGTAAAGCCATATGTCTACTGAATAAACAACTTCGTTTTTGGTAAATTTAATTCTTATTGTCAGTCAAGCACAAGATGAAAAGTGCTGCATAATCTTTAAGCGGTCGATAGATAGAAATAAATTTCATTTTATTGTCATGCCTGAGTCTATGACTATGTAGGACATGCAGGTCCTCTCTGCCTACAGGCCAAGGATACCTATGCCAGTTGTATATCCCCTCCTATGCCTCCCATAAAGCTCCCCTCAAACAGTACCGCTACTCATAAGTCCTTATTCATTTATACATTTAGAGGAGCCCTTTGCCCTTCATCATCTCCCCTCTCCAGCCAACGAAATGATGGCTATTTGTAGGTGTATGGCAGCGGGGAAAAATCGCAAAAACCACTGGGTGCGGGGCTCTTCTAATACCGAAATTTGGAATAAATCCGAAGACATAGTGACCCTTCCTGTCACGGTTCGAGGTATAGATGCTGGGGCGATCAAATATACGAAGGTTGTTTATTATTTTCTCTATGGCTATCTATGTACGTCCAACTTCAACTATTTATTCGCTTACTATTCTATCTAGAATATTCTTGACTAATACCAGTTTCTAGTATTTTCCCCTGAGGCTGGTTCGCAGTCTTACTACTAGTTGCTAGAAATTTCTAGTGATGTCCAGATTAATCTATGATAGAATAGTGGTTTCGTAAAGTTGTGAAGCACGTGATTAACATCATGTGCCACAGGGTAATTACCGGCTCACTAGCCGTTACAATTCCCCTCCTCCTCCATGCATTACGTAAATGCGTGTAGCTGATTTCAGTTTGAAAGAAACACTCCAAAGTTGTGGCCCAGATAATTTTGTTAGATTTTGTTTTTTTTTTTTTTTTTTTTTTCATTTTGCTTTATCCCCGTGGCTGCGGAATCTGTTACTCCGGTTCCGACGTCTGCGAAGGGTCCCTGGTTCGGCTGGTCCAACAAACGCTCCGACACTATCTTTTGGCGGACCGTCATTTGTCGCAATCGGTCCATATTTTGCTTCGAAATCATCAAGGGCTTTGGCTTCCTCGATAAATTCCACCGGCTCCCATGTCGGATTTGCTTCGCTTACCCACTTTACTAGTGCTTGTCGATATTTTCCACGGCCACGACGAACAGTTCTCGCACGTAGAATTGACTCCACCTCGTATTCGGGCTGCTCCAAGTCATCTATTATGGGGGGGTTTTGAGCATCATCTCTAAATTGACTTGGAAATGGATCTGAGCCGGCTCGCTTTACTAATTCCACATGGAATCGTTTATGGATATTTCCCGGCACGTTTAGCTCAACTGTAAGTGCATCAGGGACAGCAGTCACTTCATATTTTGCATGTTGCCATGCTAACTTCTTCGATAGTTGGGGAGTTTTTATATGACGTAGATCCAACCAGACCTTATCTCCAACTCGGAATTTTTCGGGCTGTCGGCGTATTAAGTTTCCATTGGCTTCATAACGTTGCTGCGCAGACGCCATTGCTGCTTGAGCAAAATCTTGGGCGTCCTTTAGTCTTTGTACAAATTTCATTGCTGAGAGCCGACCCGGATGTCTCGACTTTTCACAGGTAGTCGGCGTTGGTTGTGTTACAGGGTCCAAGTCGTAACCATGCTTTAAGAAAAAGGGGCTCATTCCTCCAAGTGATGAATTTGGGCGGGCATTGAGTGCTAGCTGTGCCATTGGCAACAAATCCATCCAGTCATTTTGTGAGTAGCAAGAGAATGATCGTAAGTACTTGTATATTTCCTGGTTAGCCCGCTCACTGGCATTTGACTGAGGGTGATACGCCGTTGTCAGTCGCTGCGAAATCTTTGTTAACTCACAGAATGTCTTCCAAAAATGGCTTACCCAGTCGCTGCCGCGGTCACTAGTTAGGTATCTAGGAAATCCGTGGTAGCGATAGTATCGGTCAACAAACACTTTGGCACATTCTTCCGACGTCATTGAGTTTGTACCAAACATGAAAACTTCCTTCGACAAACGATCAGTTATTACCATAATATTGGTACACCCATTTGACGGGGGCAGATCAGTGACGAAGTCAATCGTAAGTTCACAGCCAACCCTTTCTGGAATTGGTAACGACCGAAGAAACCCAGCTTTTGCTTCCCTCCAAACAGTTGAGCGTCCACAAACGTCACAATTCCGAACAAACCGACGCACCGATTCCCTCATTTTGGGCCAAAACCATCTCCGTAGTAGGATACCTACCATTGTGTCTCTCCCTGGATGTCCTGCAAGATGGCTATCGTGTGTCTGCTGTAAAATAGCTGTTCGAAGTGGCTCGTGATCTGGCACCCAAATTCTATTTTCACGACCTCTCAGCACTCTATCTGCAGCCACTGTACATTCAGCGATATTAGCTCTATACTTTAAGGCGATATCTGGAGGAAAGCATCTTTCACCCGCTTGTACAGCATTTCGAGCTCGCTTCCAGTCGTTATCTATTTCAATACCCTTCGCCCATAGAGCTTGTAGCTCATCGCTCTCAAAAAGAATTGCTTCAGCGGCTGGGTCCATGGTTTGGTTTGTGTTACGGTTAGTTTTTCTGGTATTGACAGGGTGGATAGAAACTGTTGGCAATAACTGTATAACCCTTCCGGCATTTCTTTCATCGTCGAGACCTGTGGGCTTATCTTGTTCTCGCCTTGACAATGCATCCGGTCGCTCGCTAGCAGCTCCTGCTCG